TAATGACTTTATTCATAATGTTCAAAACTCTAAATCAGTCAAGAAGTCCTTCAGTGGAGCGAATAAATAAAGTAACTGTGATTTACACAGACAATGAAAGCACCATTCAATATTAAACATCAGCTACCAAGTCATGACAGAGGAAAAACGTAAATGTGTATTATTAATTGAAAGAAGCCAATCTGAAAAGCCCACATTCAGTGCGATTGCACTGATGCTGAAATCGTCAAGAAGTGAAACCAAGCAGCCTCCATCCGTTCGGGAGGTGACAGGGATGGTATGTGAGGCACAGAGAAATGCTAAGGCAAGGAAATGAGTCTCTACGATACTGGGACAGCAGGTTCATGTCACAGCTCATTATCGAAGGCCAGAGACTGTGCATCAAGAGTGAACACAATGAAAAATGGGGACTTTGTATGGTAATAATGTTCAATATAGGTTCACAGACTGCAACAAATCTAACATTCCAGCCTAGGATGGTCATAGGAGGAAGATTATGCATTTGAGAAAGGAGAAGTACACTTTCAGCTTAATTTTTCTCTGAGCCTAACACTACTTCAAAAACATAAAGTATGTTTTTTGATGGGAAGGAGTTATTAACTCCTGGAAGAAATGTTATATAAGAAAGAAATTGCTCTCATAATTCACAACTCAGCTCAGTCATAAAAATATTTATATGGTCATAAATTTTATACTATAGATTTAATCAAATTTTAGGGAAAATTATGCAGAATTGTCAAAAATAGAAAAGTCCATGACTTAAACATTCTCATTTACACCTTCTAGAGGAATATATGGGTAAATAGTTTAATGATGGTATAATAATGCAAATATGGCATAATATATAGAAAATGAAAATGAGTTCCTTAAGAGACAATTGCAAGCAAATGCATATGATTGTTTTCAACAGGATACCAGGATATGGCAGAAACTATGGATAAATAATGCTATCTTGGTTATCAATTTTATGGAAAGTATGATTTTTAAGCTATATGTAAATAGTGGGCAATAAAATAGGTAATGCAAAAAACAAAGAAGTGAAATGTAGTGCCTGCCAATTATGCTGTTTGGTTCTGATAATCCTTAGCTATCAGACTTTAGCATTATAGATTGAACTGTGTCCCTTTAAAATTTGTATGTCGAAATCCCAACTAATTCTACCACCAAACGTGAGTTGATTTGGAAAAAACAGTAATTAGGTGTAACCAGTTAAGACTATTTTAGCCCAGGGAATTTTAAATCAATATGAATGAATTGCTTGTACAGAGGGAGTATTTGAAAGCAGCTCAGAAGATATTCTGAGAAATGAGAGCAGAGATCATGGTTACTCTTTGGGAGCCAAAAGAGTGCCAAACTCTACCACTATGTCATCAAAGGCTTGGTCAAATACTGTCTCTGGTTGCTCAGAGGAAACAATCTTGACTGGACCTTGAGAGCAGACTTTGAGCCACTGGAATAAAATGACAATAAATCTCTCAGTTTCTAAAGTCATGCAGTTTACACTACTGTGCGGTGTGAAAAAGTGTAGGCAATACACTAGAAAGATGAACGAGGCCAGCATGAGGTCTCAGTTTGGCAAAGTGCTTGCCTTGTAAGCATGAGAAACCATATTTGATTCCTAGAATCTACATAAACTGGAAAGGGAAGTTCTCTGGCCAATGAATTGAACCTAACCCCTTATCTCAGGGGAAAAAAAAACAATTTTTAACTGGGGATCAAAGGTACCATCCAAATATATTACATTTATATTAAAGATTGTCTTTTAATACCATGATACTAGGAAAGAAAGGGTTTTGCCAGTCAGATAGTGCAACAGGTAAAGATGCATGTTTCCTAGAATGGTAAGGTGGGATTGATTCTGGAAGATCACATCCTGGAAGGTGAGAACTGACTCCTACAAGTTGTCCTCTGACTTCCTCATCTACACGCCCACACACATGTGCACACACACAACACATGCACACACAAATACACAAATAAGTAAAGAAATGAATACAGATAAGTTTCTAGAGTAGTATCTTTCTTATGGATAGGTTTTGTTCTGTTTCTTTATTGTCAACATGTCAGAGCTTACTGAGTGAAGTGAGATAATCATGCTTTGGCTTCCTAGAGGCCTTCATCTGTTGCGTCCATTGTTTTTTATAGTTTAGCTATGTTTTAGTGGTGTATAGGTAATCACAAGTCTCTTCTCTCCTCCTTTCATATCAGTATTTAGTACATAAACTAATAAATTAATTCTGCTGATTACGGGAGTTCTACTGCACATAAACTCTGCTTACATTAATGCCTTAATGTAGTTCCTTCGGAAATTGTGGATACCTATTGCATTGGGGTGCTGAGAGTTTTCAAGGGAGAGGGATCTCGCAAGAGTCCTGACAGTCCCGTGCTTAATGAAATAGCCAACAACAAGATTCTTAGCATCAGTGGTCTGGGCCCTCGTTCCTATCTGAACATAAAGATCACCCAGAGAAACTAATTCATAATAATTTACAAACTTGTTTAGTTTTATTGGAGAAATAAGACTTGTCCCCCAAAAGATGAAAAGTAATAATACAAATATCCAATATTTCAGTTTCATAAAAATCCTCTCTACCATCCTTGCAGATGGCGCCTTGTGATTTCCTGTGAGAGAAGTAGGTCTACTAAGTTTCCAGCCTTACTGCATTAAATAACACTAGCTATTAGAGACTAGACTGGTTATTTCTGGACTATGTAGACCTGGTTGCCATCACTTTAAAATGGTTAATTGCCATTTTAAGCCATTTTCTTTGTCCTCTTGACTGATGATCCCTGTAGTTTTCTTTGGTAACTATATATTAAATGAGAAATGCTGAAATAGAAGCAGAAAACATTATTCTTTTCTCTTATAGTGGACCCTGAAAACCTTCCCAGATTCTGGTTCTAATGCAACAAGAACAAAAACATGACAGATTTCCAGTTTCTATGAAATAAGAACTCATCTGAAGTCACTATCATTCCCTAAATGGTCTATTTTACAAATGGAAGTAGCTAGTCAGAGCTGGTGGTGCATGTCTTTAATCTCAGCACTTGGAGAAAGAGACAGGTGGATCTCTGTACATTCTAAACTGGATCTGGTGTATACATCCAACACCAGGCCAGCCAGAGCTACACAGTGAGAAGTTATTTCCAAACAAAACAGAAGTGGCTTGCCAGCCCTATTATAAAATATGGAAGTTTCACTCAAAGTTAACTTTCCCCCCCCCCTTCCACAGGAAAGGACTGGTGTGTATATACCTTCTGTCTTTCATAACCATGCATTTCCTAATTAACAGTTATTGTTCCCACCCCCCTCCAGGCAGGAATATCAAAAGGAAAGAGTTAGTGGGACAGGAAAGGTATACAGGCGCCAACAAGATGTTTGGAGAATTACTAAACTGACTTGCTCACAATAAATTGCTGGACATTTCAGGACCACGGTCCTGTCTTAAGTACCAGCAGCAGGCACATGACTATCGGTTTATCTGCTTTACTTTTTTCGTAAGTTTTCTTTCTTCAAAATCTGGACATACAAGGGTCAACAGATTCAGCTGCTGTTGCCCAGCTAACAGAACTGCACTTCTTCTGGGAAAGCCTTGGGAAACAGCCACAGTTAGTTCTCTCGTCATGGACCACCAATTTCTCCCAATGTTCTTTACTTTGGACCCATCTTCTGTAGCAAAATACTTGCCTCCCAAAAGCATCACCCTTTTTTTGTTTGGCCACTTAGCAGGTAGCTTTGGCTGCACGCTTTATTTTGAGACTTAGTAAGTCTGAGTCTGTTGCCTGCTCTGTGTCTCCAAGTTTTCGAGACACTCTTGAAGCTTTTCTCCGTAACCTTGGGAAGAAAAGATACCCTCTCCCATCTTTCTCTGATCACCATATGGGAGATAGTGACACCACATCGGTTTTCTTGGTGTGCTCCTCCATTCAGTGTCTGAGTTCTTCAGCTGTGTCTTAATCCTTAGTATGTTCAGTGAGATCCGGTAGCTCCCAGTCACAAAACAGAGATAAAATTGTCTATACAGGTTCTGCCTAGACAGATAAGCACCTCACTCTGGAGTGGGAGCAGTTCGCTCCTATTACCCCATAAATCCATACCACTTACATTGACATAATATAGTTCTCACACTGGGAAGTATTTGATGCATTTCCCGTACCTTTTTTTCTGTTTGTTTGCCATTGACACCTTCTTGTCAGTATGTACCATCAATCAATTACATTCTGTACCATCTAATTCATTTAAAGAACTGAGATTTTATATCTTGATCCTTTAAGAATTTGCTGATATTTTCTAAGAGATGTTATGAGCAAATTCACAGAAGAGGTTAACAAGATTGGAGAGAATGATCAATACTTCTTTATACTCAAAGACTAAGTGTTTTATTCAGAAAGCTGTATTTTAATATAAAGGACATGAGAATCTTTGTGTTTTGATATCTGCAGCATCCTGGAGCCAATTCCCTGTGGACAGACTGGACCAATTTTAGTAGAAAGGGAAAACCAAGTAATAGTGTGTTGTACTAAGGACAGTTCTTTAAAATCCTGCCGTTCATTAGCTTCAACACTAAGGTAAATGCAGTCAAATTGAAATTCAGTTTGAAAAACTAAAATGTGTGAAAAATAAATATTTAGAGAGAAAAAGTGAATCAGATTTATAATAGCACTAATTTCACCCGATTATATAGTTTTAAATCTCTGGTGTTATAAAATTTCAAGTCTCAAAGGGACTTCAATACAAAAACATGGCAGTTATGTATTGGTAGATATTTTGATAATTTTTCTAAAACAATAATTTAACTGATACTATTATGCTCAGTCAAACCTTAAAAGTATAATCTCTATGCACATAAATACTTTAACTGTTTCTTTGAGTGCCTATAATATACACTAGAAAGTGGTGAGGGACCTATATTTTTCAAACAAGAAACACAAATAAGTCCATCCTAAGTAAATTAATATTTTCAGTTTTTTTCTCATCCTTACAAATTACCTTCTTGCAGGAAACAGACCTTATCCTGACATTCAATATTTCAATGCACCGATCTTGGTGGATGGAGAATGGACCAGGATGTATGGTGACATCTGTGACGCCTGCCCCCGACTGGGCCCCAGAAGACCATCGATACATCACTGTCTCAGGTTGTTTTCTGGAGTACCAGTACATAGAAGTGGCTCATAGTTCCCTCCAGATCATCCTCGCAGTAAGTGTTCAGAGCTAACCACTCTGGTGCTTTGGGGCAAACTCATTTCTGAGCAAACTCAATATAGATGGACTCTATGTTAAATGTGTGTGGGTTTTAGCTTTTCTAATTAATGTCATTTTTAATAGGAATTTGCTGGGTTAAACCAAATCTTTTTAAACCTGTATGTACAGCTTTTCCTCAGCAACTGACAAAGAGCCTTTGATATCAACCAGCATGTGAAGACTGATTATCTTCATTTGTGGTAGAATTTTCTAAAGATTATAAAAGGACCATTGAAAGGTTTTCATGTCTCACTGTCTTCCTACGTAAGAAGAAAGATTTCGATATGTATTTTTTATATCTTTATGTTTCTTTTGGCTGAACTGTTACAAATCCTTTCTTCTTTTTGCCTGGTATCTTTATCGCCCCCCCGCCCCCAATTTCACAGGTCTTTCACATTTTATACTCCCTCCTTTTCCAGAACAATTCATACTTTCTACAGCGTCTACCTCTAGACTTTTTATGCCTCAATATTTCAATTGTGATAATAAAAAACCCTCATTTTATCAGAAGTAAATAAAGCAACTAAACATCAAATTAGTGTCGAAAATGCTTACATTATACAAACAAATTATTTGCATTATTAGAATAAAGATACAAATAAAAATATTTTTTCCTGAAGAGACTTGGGAAACCTAACTTTGTAATTCTGTGAGATTTAGAAAGTTTACAGCTTTGTTATACATGAACGCGGGTGTTTATGTGAGCTCCTAAAACCATATATAGAGAGAGCTGTAATCAATATGCACAACCTTAAATTTCCTACCAACAAATAAAATTTGCTTTTCAGTTTTCTTTAGCTAATTTCTTAGAGGGTAACATTAACTCACAATTGAATAATAAGAAGCAATAAGTTGTATGTAAAATGGTATCAATGTCTCTAGATTTAAGAAAATCTTTTTTATCATGATATGAGATATTTCAGCTGAGTGTGGTGGTACATGCCTTTATTCTTAGCCCTCAGGAGGAAGAGGTAGGTGAATCTCTGTGAATTCAAGGCCAGCCTGGTCTACAGAACAAGTTCTTGGACAGCCAGGTCCAAATAGAGACACCCTGTCTCAAAAACAAACAAACAAAAAACCCGAGTAAAACCAAGAAAACAAAAAACAAAGCAAAGCAAAAAGATATTGTGTTAAATGATAGATGATAGATAGATAGTAGAGATAGATAGATAGAGGCTAGTAGGAATGCATTGTACTAGTAAACATTTCATAAGCCTCTATAAAGAACACTTTTAAAATGTATGTATTCCTAGCCAGAAATTGTAGAATGTGGCTGTAGTTTGCATACTTGGGAGGTTGACACAGGATCTTTGAGTTCAAAGAAACTCTGAACTGTGTCCATTAACATCTCAAAAATCAAACAAAAAACTATCAAAAACACTTTCTGTGTATGTCAGCTTGTGTTTCTGTTGGAAGCTCTAGTTTTCACATAAGAAACAAGGCTATTGGAGCCACCTTGAACCCAGTGGTCATAGATTTCCATGCCTAAGATCAAAATAGACATGGAGGATCACATTGGCATGCCCGTAATTAGAAGAAAGGGTTCATTTTTACAGCTCACTGTCTCCTCGTCCCAAAGAAAGAACTACAAATCTTTGCAGAGAAACCTACCTTCTAGAAAATCTGAACTATGTTCTTCCTTGAAATAATACCTTTTTTTTTTTAAATCTCAAACACGGACGAGCTCTTTCCTCTCTTCGAATGATAGAACCAGTCGCTAAATACACTGCACTCTCTAAGCAATAAAGTTCCTTTTCTGACAAAATATAGAAGAAGCATGAGATGGGACTTATAAGTCAGCTATTGAATCACCGAATTTTAGGAGATCATAGGGACAGAATAAAGAAAGGGAAAGTGGGAGACAGACTAAATATAGGAGAGGAGTATCCATGGCTTCCCTGAGAATAAGCATAGATTTTTCAAGAGTTCATTGGCCACCTCTTCTTTCCTTTTTAGGTGTCTTTGTAGTTTTAATCATAGAAATGTCAACTGTGGTAGCACTAAGGCATGGGTATTTAGATTGCAGCTAGATTTCATTAAAGTTAGAAGTTATCCAGTAGTCACTCTGGCAGGCATCGTATATTAAACAGTTTTGTCTAAGACACATCACAAAGTACATTTGATTTTCAAGAATCCTGGCTTTCAAGGGTCCTGTCCTCAGAGACAAACCAGGTCAACAGAGGCAAAAAGTGAAGTCAAGCAGGTAATGTTCTGGGTAGCAAAAGCATGGAGTGCTTGTCCCTTTGTTTGTCTACCAAAGACACAGTTTCGGCGAAGGAAGTCTTTTGTGATGGTTTCAATTTTGAAACGTTTTATCCTAAAACCCAGGAGGCAGAGGCAGGCAGATCTCTGAATTCAGGGCAAACCTGGTCTACAAGAGCTGGTTCCAGGACAGGCTCCAAAGCTAAAGAGAAATGTCTTAAAAAACGAAACAAAACAAAGAACAAACAAACAAAAAGAAAATACTGGTAATCCCCACATTATGGAGGCTGAGTCAAAATGATCTCCTCTATTTTATGCTATTTTGGGATACATAGCAAGTTCCAGGAGAACCTGGGTAAAACTGTGAAAACCTATTTTAAAAAAAAAATAAAGTAAATATTTTATTATTAAAAAAAGAAAATACTATTTAAGAAATTAAAATAATAATAAATGATTCATTTAAAATTTACCGGTACTACTAAAAATGCTGTAAGATAAATAACAAAATATTTAAGAGCTTCACATAAAAATCATGATTGATCATGCTGTAGCAATCCAAGGTGGCTAAATTTAAGCGTTTAAGGATGCCCCAAATTAATTTCCTCCTCCACATGAGAATCCTTAAAGTAATATGTACGACATATTTTGAGATGAGCAACCATTGAGAAAGAAGGAAGGAGAGAAGAAGGGAGGGAGGGAGGGAGGGAGGGAGGGAGGGAGAGAGGGAGAGAGGGAGAGAGGGAGGGAGAGAGAAAGGGAGGGAGAGAGAGAGAAAGGGAGGGAGGAAGGGAGAGAAAAGAATGTTCCACTTACACTCAATGGATCAAGAAGTTAAAGACCCCCTTGTGTAATTAAGAATAAAAGAGAGTCCTGACAACAGTCTGTTCAGACTGGCCCCTTTCGCTACTGTAATACACTGTGCAGATACTGGTCTCTCTAGCTACTATAACACGCTGTGCAGGTACTGGCCCCTCTAGCCACTGTAACGACTTTCTTTTTTTTCCTGTTTTTTAAAATTTATTTTATTTTGTTTATTGGGAAGTAGAGAAAATCTGGCTTATGATGACTTTCATGGCACTTTATTTATCAAAGTCTATCAAGGCAGCTTTGTCAGAGAAAAGTAAAATACTTCTGGAATTGATAGACATATAAAATACCTTTACACAGACACATTAGAGATGGGGATTAAACAAATACACCTTCTATGCAAAACATCTCATCATTTTAACTGAACTTACAATTTGACAAACTTCCACCTATGTCTCAATGACATATGAGATGTAATTTATGTGCATGGATGGTTATATATGATCATTTTTAGAAAGCTATTTGAATTTGTGTTGTGTGTCTATGTAACTACAGCTACAGTTTGATAAAACCCCATGTAAGATTTTTTGCATGCAGGGAGTTTCCACCGAACTAAATTGGGATATAGATGCATATGTTAGGAATATATACTATTCAAGGAAAAATTCATTACATAATAAAGCCAACCTTTAACAACTCAGTGCACAGCTCAGTACACACAGTACACCAGTTCACACAGTGCACATAGTCCACAGTGCACAGTACTCACAGTACATGGTACACACAGTACATGGTAGACACAGTGCACGGTACACACAGTACACGGTACACACAGTGCACAGTACACACAGTACCCAGTACATACAGTGCACAGTAACACAGTGCACAGTACACACAGAGCACAGTACACACAGTGCACAGTACATATAGTGCATAGTACACACAGTGCACAGTACACACAGTGCACAGTACGCACAGTGTTCAGTACATACAATACACAGAATATTCAATACATAGTACACACAGTACACAGAGTGCAGAGTACACAGTATACAGAGTGCACAGTACACACAGTTCATGGTACCACAGTACATAGTATACACAGTGTACAGTACACGCAGTGCACACTATACACAGTACACAGTATACACAATGCACAGTACACACAGTGCACACTATACACAGTACACACTATACACAGTCCACACAGTACACAGTATACACAGTCCACACAGTACATGCAGTGCACACTATACACAGTACACAGTATACACAGTTCACACAGTGCACACTATACACAGTATACAGTACATGCAGTGCACACTATACACAGTACACACTATACACAGTGCACACAGTACACAGTATACACAGTACACACAGTACACACAGTGCACACTATACACAGTACACACAGTGCACACTATACACAGTGCACAGTGCACACTATACACAGTATACACAGTATACACAGTCCACGGTACCAAAGTGAACAGTACACACAATGCAGAGAAGGTTAATCATCTTTAAGAGCCACTGTGACTGACTTCTCGTTTCACATCTTTGCATTGCTTCCAGAATGGAGAAGTGGCGTCCTCACCTGTCCTTTTTGTTTGTTCCTTCTTTGATGATAGTAGTGTTTATTTTGCAGTGTTGACTGTGGCATAGCTGAGAATACTTAGGACGTACATAATTAAGTTCTATGTACTTTTTGCCATTGGGATTGTTGTTGTTTTGCCAGCCTTGGGCTAAAAGTGCTGCTGTTCCCATAAGGGCTTGTCTTAAACAATGTTGTTTGCCTGAAGAACACATTTTCCTCTGGTCATTATGATCACTCTTACTGCAATGATGAAAGGATAAAACGCTGTCTTGAATATCTGTTCCTCCCCTCTGAGTTATTTTCCTTCTGATAATCAAATATTTAGTTCTATTCAGTGTAGTAAACAT